TTTCACTCTATATGCATCCGAAGAAGTGGGTTGTAGCCCACGAAAGCTTATGCTCTAATAAATTTGTTAGTCTCTAAGGTGCCACAAGTACTCCTGTTCTTTTTTAATAAAAAATAAGTAAATAAGATTTTTGGGGTCTGTTCAAAAGCATCTTGCAGTCTGGATTTGGCCCACGGTCCGCCTAATGACTGCCGCTGGACTAGCAGAAGGTCATATCAGTGGCAGAGTTGGGTCTAGAATCCATTCTTCTGGTTCATATTCCTCTGCTCCTACCACTTTTTCTGAGTGGGAGCCAGAGAGAAAACATTTAATTAAATAAACCATAATTTTGTTTCATAGTTCATTTGTTACCTTTCGTATAATTGTAGCTTGGTATGTTTCTACCTTTCATATTTCATTGCTTTACAGTAAGTGGATGTGGCATCATGAGGTGTCAGAGTGTATCCAGGACAGTCCTTCCTCAACGTTACTTCAAAATCTAGAACCAGTTATATTTATAAGACTCTCCAATAGTTATTTTTCTTTAACGAGGGTATTGTGCCTTTAAGGAGACAGTGGAATTCTGTGACTCCATTTAGTGGGAGGAGCAATGACCAGAGCATCCCTGCTAATGAAGCAAGAGTAGCTGGTGCAGGGGGGAGGGATAGCTCAGTGGTTTGAGCATTTGGCCTGCTAAACCCAGGGTTGTGAGTTCAATCCTTGAGGGGATCTGGGGCAAAAATCTATCTGGGAATTGGTCCTGCTTTGAGCACGGGGTTGGACTAGATGACCTCCTGAGATCCCTTCCAACCTTGATATTCTATGATAGCCATTGGGCAAATGGTAGCCAGGAGTGTAGAGTGTGTGCATGCAGGTTCCCCCCTTTTGAGGGAATTAAGAATGGCACTTGGGAACTACGCACATGTTATATGTAGGCAGGATTCAAGAGGCCCAGGAAAGGGGGGACTAGGCAGTACTTACGTACTCTGTGGGATTGCCCCTCCACTGGTTTAAACCAGTTTAGTATTTGTGCACCATCTCACTCAGCTTCCCAAAGTTCTATAATCCAGAGCAATGTTAAGATTCATTCCATTTCTGCGCTGGTGCTCCCATCCCTACCTACAAGAACCCCTGTGACAAACACTGACCATGGCTAGATGTAATGACTGCCCATTGTGTGGTGTTGCCAGGGACTAAACCCAGGATCTCCAGTGCTAAAAGCGCAAGCTTCTGCCACTTGATCTAACAGAGCAACTCTTCCTGCTGGCAGCAGTAATAACCTCTTATCCTTTGTGATCTAGATACTAGTAAGAAACTGTACAGAGTTGAGGATTTGGATTCTGGCCCGCCTTTGAGTAAATAAGAGTCATTCTGGCAAATTTTGTGGGAGTTCAAAGGGCAGGAAATTGCCTAGAACAAGAGAGTGACCATTTTTGTGCATGTTTTGTGTGGGGAAGGAATGTTGCTGGTCTTGATTTGTGCCTTTTTAGTTCTCTGCAAACCATGGCAATGAGTTAAATGGGAAAGGAATCCCTGACTAGGTCTGTCCCCCGTGGTCGTAGAATGTTCTGGGCTCTTTGTTCTGTGCATGATGGCAGTGTCTGTGCACTATGGAGGTCTCCCCTCTTTCTTCACCCCTCCCCCTGGCCTCCCTTGGCTGATTGGCCTCTAATGGTAAAAAGAGAGAACTAAGCAAAGGGATCTTCTTTTTCAGGTTCCAAAGGGGCTGTCTCCACAACCTCTGGCATGTCTCCCTGGGGAAGGGCTGGAGTCCCCAGCAGTCAAAACATATAATGCTTACTCTCTACCATAATTTTCTAAATATATATGTCCAGAGATGGGGGTTAAACTCAACACAACAGGCATCCATTGCCAGCCTGCATTTGTACCCTACAGTCTCTGATTCTCGGCTACTGCTGCTATGCCTCTTGTCATGCTCGCAACTTGTGCTGCTTGCAGCAAATTTTGTTTAATGTCAGCTACTCTGACTTTCTCTGTTGTTTGGGGTTTTTTGCCAAAAAGCAGCTGTTTACAAGAACTAGCCTATCGCTGCAAACTGCTTTGCACGAGCCTGGCAGGAAGAGCAAAGGAGAGGGAGCATGGGGAGAATCGCAAAATTTCACAGGCAGTGCCAGAAAGAAACTGTTCCTTCATCTGTCAGTCCTAGTGCAGCCATCAGAGTTGCAGGGGCTTCTGAGGCAGGATCCCAGAGTTTCTCGCTCATTTCCTGTTTGGGATACAAACTGCACAGCTCCTGGTCTCTCTCACGTTCTATAAAAACACCCAAGTGGGGAATGGGCAGCTGGATTGTCACCCCATGGACCAGGACCATTGTCATTTGTATTAATTGGATGTGCACCTGAAGCACTTTGCAGTGATCAAACGCAGTGAATCTATAGCCTGCAAGAGTCATGGTGTGGTTTGACGGCGGTGTGTCTGTCGGGAGGGTATGAACATCTACACTGGGGGAGTGTGTGGATATGTATGTGTTGGCTGAGAGTGCCTATGGGTGCTAGTGTGTGCGTGGATCAGTGTTGGGAACAAGAGTATCGTCGAGAGGGCATATGGCTCTGTGCGAGTATCGGCAGCAGGGCATGTGGGTGCGTGCGAGTTTATGGCTGTGTCCGAGTGGATGAGTATGATGATGTGTGCGTGTACTACTAATGGCGTGTCTGTGTCAGGGCTGCAGGGCTCATGACCCAGAGCCAGACTTTGCTGTGACTTCACCACAGCCAGATCAAGGCTGCCCTGTTACTGTAGTCCTGCCAGTTGGCAGCTTCCAAATGCTTCCCATAGCCTCAGCATTCGCCTTGTAAAATAAAGGCCACTTCTGATGTTTCCGCTCTCTTTTAAGTCCGCCTGGGAAAGCTGGCTGCTTTCCTTACCCTCCTCTCCTGCCCTGTCTGTTTGCAGCCTGGTTTCTGCCAGGCAATTCCCTTTATGTTTGCTCAGTGGTCTCCACAGTGAGGGATTACACGGAAGACACTGTCATGTTACGGCAAGAGTCCCTTAACCCCAGCCATGTTATCAATTGACTCAGAGGGGAGAGATGGGGGGAGGAGGCTCATTCGACCAGGCACAGTTTAGCACTCATTCCCTCATTGGTTACAGTGATGTTGCTGAGGTGTGGCTGCACAGCTGGTCTCTGAAATGACTCTGTGGCCCTCAGGCACTGGGCATTTTTTTTTTGACATTGGTGTTTAACTGGTGCCCTCCAAATCTGCCTGCAAATGCCAACTGGCTAGTTAGGGGAGCATCTTCTTCAGGGGAGAGATCAAATGGCCTTTCCTTAGCTAGCAGGGGATTGTGGAGGCGATTTCCCATTGGCCACAAAAGAACCTGAAGGGGCTTGAGTGTGGTGCAAAGCCATCCCTAGGCTTTATCTCCTTGACCCCCTTGAACAGCCCCTCTAATTGCCATGCTCGTGTTCTGTTCTTCTCCCTGTCTGACAGTACGCCAAGGCGCTGAAGCATTTTGGAGAGAATGAGGGCAAGATGCAGCCAGATGAATTTTTTGGCATCTTCGACACCTTCCTGCAGTCGTTCACAGAGGCCAAGCAAGATCTGGAGAATATGAGGAAGAAGAAAGAGGAGGAGGAGCGCAGGGCACGCATGGAGGCCATGGTGAGAACCCGGGGGAGGAGGCGTGGGGGAGGGGATGCCTCTTTCCTTGTTCTCAAGAGAACAGGGGCCAAGTGAGACGATTCCCCTGCTCATGTTCCATCCCTGTCACTGCTTCAGACACCACCTCTCACTGTCTCCTTTGTTCCCGCAAGCCTGGCTCTCCTCCACCTGTCCCTCATTTCTCATCTCCTCTCCCAGCTGCCTGTCCTCCCACTCCCTCTCCTGCCAAAGTGCTCCTTGGCTGTGTGCTTTCCCTCCCGCTGCAGGCCTTGTTATTGACACAGAGTTCTCAGTCATCAGGGGCAAACATCTGGTGGCTGCCTTGAAATCCCAGGGCCAACAAGAGGGGCTTCCAGCCCCCAGGGATCTGTTCTGCACTCTTCTCCCCAGAAAAAGTTGTGCTGCCCTGTCAAACCAGGGCATGCTGTTCCAGCCCCCAAGCTGCCTTCTTGACATCTGGGGGTCCCCACACCTGGAGGTTGCCATCCGGCCATTGGGCTGCCTCCCCTGCACACCTGGGGCATACCGTCCTCCTTAAGACTGATATTCCTGTTTTGAAGCACTTGGCACCAGATCCCACGCAGTCCTGCCAACTGGGCTGCTTCCGTTCAGACTGGATTATCATCTGTTCTGTGTCTGTCCCCGGACAGTGTGTTGTGACACAGGAGCACACTGGCGCCTGCCTTGCAGATACCAGCAGCCTTTCCCCCGGCTGCCCTCAATGCCATGGTCACTCAGGCTGCCTTCGGCCCTGACAGGGCAGGGAGAACGTGCATGCATCATTGATTCTCCTGCTGGAACTCCGATGTGTGAGTCCCTGGGGGTTGGGGTGAACTAACCTCCCACGTTCCTGAGGCCTGAGAACAGCTCAGCATTCCTCTACCTCCTTTTGTGCTGCCAGCACTTTAACTCCAGCAGTTACTGCAACCCAGGGCTTGCTTAGGAGGATCGCTGCTTTGAGCTTTTTTTTTTATTATTATTATTTTTATTTATTTATTTATTTTTAAACCACTCTGTTTGGCTTGGTTCAGAGGTGGAGGGGGGGATTAAGGAGAAATCCCAGGACTTCAGCATCGTCCTTGGAGTTGCTGTACGAGGGGCTTTAAAATGCCAGTACTTGGCATCGATTTATTAGTGCTTAGTATTTAAAAGTGAAGTGGTTCATTGTAAAAGTATGGGTATTGTAGGTCAGCAGCGCTGAGATGCCTCAACAGCCTGAGATAGCAGGAAGGCTGCAGGGGGCATGTGGGCAGAGCTATGTGTGGGGAGCCAAGGGCTAGGATGGCGCGGGGTGGGGGAGAGGGAAGACTCCAGGTCAGGGGTGAGGGACATAGGCAAAGCTGTGTGTAGGGAGCCCAGGGCTGGGATAACAGGGGGTGCTGCAGGCCAAGGGTGTGGGGCACTGACAAAGCTGTGTGTGGTCAGAACTGGAATAGCAGGGGATGTTGCACATTGCAATTTAGGTTTATTTCCTGTGTAGGTTGGTGGAGGAGGGGTATGTTTCCCCGTGTCCCATATTCAAACTTGATGGGATCCCTCTTTCCAGAAAATCTTTCCCTGTTGTAACCCACTTTCCTGAATGCCTCCCATCAGCCACCATGCTTCAGGGAAGAGCTAGTGAATAGGACCCCTTCACTGACCTAGAGAAGAGTTCTAGTTTATATATGGAGATGCACCTCCTGCATCCCAGGGGCTGACACAGAGAATGAGAGCATCGCGGTTGGGTCTGTGCATGTGGGACAGATCACCAGCCCTAACCCAAGGAGCCAGCCAGTGCTGGGGAGCTTAGATGGACGTTAGCGAGACAAACTCATATGGACAGACTCCTTGCTGGTGTCACTCCAGGGAAGCAGGGCATCACCCAGGGAAGAACTCAGCTAGTAAACTTAAAAAAAAAATTAAAAAAATCTACTGTTCTTTTTCATCACTGATGCTGTTAGTTGACTTTCTGCATCTCCTTCAGGTTGGACAGTTCAATTTGGCTGGTCTACTTCACTTTGTTTATAATTGGCTTCTCTTTCTGGATCTCTTTCTGTTGCCTTTGTGTTCCCATCACTGTAAGAGACTGACTCCATCCCAATGCATATGGTTTGATTGAATAACCACATTTCTATTCCTATTTGGGTTTATCAGCACACTCTGTGCTTAGTTTGGGGCCTAACCTACATCTCTCTATACTCTCTCCTCTTTTCACCTATGGGCTGGACTGTAACCTTCCACCCAGTCTGAATAAGGTGTAGCATGTGGCTGCCACTGCCCCAAGAGCAGACATGAACCAAATTGTAACTCTGAGTTTGGTCTCTGCTTCTCCCTTGCTCCAGGAGGGAAGTATCTGCAAATTACTTGCTTCCCCCTTTAATGCTGGGTTCAATGCAGGGCTGGTGCATTGGGGGGAAAGGAGGGGTAGACAAGACTCCACCCACTCCTTACCCACCTGCACAGGAGAATAGAGGAGCAGCCCAGTATGGCTGCTATCCCCCACACAGGCTCAGGCATAGGGTTTGAGGGGGTTTCTTATGCTTCCTTTCTCCCCCATGTGCAGCAGGGCTCAGAACTGAGCCCCCCTCTGTAATCTAGCTTTCCACATCACGGTAATCACCGTGGTATCTTAGTGCCTGCTTGACAACGTCCCTTAATAATACAATGTTCTGTCCAGCCCCAGCCAAGCCTAAATCCATGTGTCTTTCTCAACAGCTGAAAGAGCAGAGGGAGAAAGAGAGGCGACAAAAGAAAGCAAAGGCTGGCAGCATCTCCGAGGAGAGTGGGGAGTTCGACGACCTGGTGTCAGCCCTCAGGTCGGGCGAGGTCTTCGACAAAGACTTATCCAAGCTCAAGCGCAACCGTAAGCGTTCAGGGAACCAAGGCTTGGAGACGAGTCGGGAGCGGGCGGTGACCAAACTAAATTATTAACAACAAAAGGAAGGAGGGGATGTTAAAAGAAATAGAACCAACCCAAAGAAGATGACGACAAAGAACAAACCAAGAAAGATGAATGTGTGTGACAGCAATTGGCTGATGGTTGCCCCCAAGAGCTCACCCAGCCCATAGCTAGAGACGTTACCTTTTCATGACCAACTTTCCTCCCCTCCCGCCCCTCCCCCATGCGCCTAATGTGGAATGGCTGTAAAAGTGCCTCTGTGGAGCCAGCAGGGTTTGTGACTGGGCCATTCGGATCATTGGCCGATTTGCTTCTGGGAGTCCTGCCTCCAAGCTCAGCAAAGGCCTATTGATGACAACAGGAAGCACTTGGGCCTTGTGGACCACTCGGCAGCTGGGGGAAGATCGTTCGCTATGTGCCAAAGTACAAACAAGTAGTGTTCTCTGTCTGTTGAGACTAAGCAAGACCATCACGTCTCAGGCTGGCTCTGAACACACCTGACGCTTTCTTGAGATCTGGAGCAGCCTTCGGGAGTTTGCCAGGGAGTTCCTTTCCAGAACTGGATTTACAAAGAGTCATTGACTAGAACCTGAAAAATGCTTTTGATCTCATGTACTGTGTATTTTTATTTGTGCTTTTTGTGGCCTATAGTAGCCAAAGCAAATGACGCTCAGAGGGGAAGGACGGTGTTTGGAAATGAGATGGAGTCCTGGCTCGAAATCCAATAATCAGAATTGATAAAAACATTTACAAAACTTTTTTGATTTTTTTTTTGTTAAAGCCGTTTTCTGGAACCTGTTGAAGCTTCTAGGGATGTTCTAGAACCTGAAAAGTTGGGAGAGAGTGAAATACATGTTCTAGAATGGGTGCTCTGCGTTGGAGTCTAGAAAATGAACCCACAGCTGATCGGGGCCAGATCCAGATGCTCTTAGAGCCTACTGCCATTGCCCAAGGGTAGGAGGGTAATAGCCACCCAGGGCTGATAATTTCATACTGCTTTTGCATCATTTTGTTAGCGCAACCCAATGGAAATTGGGAACTGTATGGGATCATCACAAGGTCCTAAATAAAGACAGTCAAACGGGGTCACTGACAGTGGAAATGGGATATTTTTTTCCATTTGTTGCCAGCTACAACTTTATTGGAACAAACTAGAGCTTGCATCTAGGAAGTTGGCCTTCTCAGCAAACCCCTGCGGGAACCATAAAACATCATAATATGTGAAGATGTCAAAGGACAGCCATGTTACCCAGGGTCTTTGCCACTTGGAAGGTGTTGCTTGCAATGAAGGTGCCATAAACAAGACAGGAATTAATCAGGAGGACACCAATCTGAATGGGTCGAGGGCTTTGAAAATTTGTGTTAATTAATAGGAATTTTTTTATTAAAAAAATAAAAATGTAAAGCACACAGCCAAAAACAAACAAGCCAACAAGAAAGACACTGACTATTTTGTTGCTATTTCTGTTCACCTTCACGACTCTAGCCATGAGACTAGCTTATGCAGGTTGTCACGGTTTCTTTTGTCTTGTCTTCCTTAAGTGAGCTTTTTGGTTATCTTCCCACGGAGAGAAAAAGGAGGAGAAAGAAAGGAGTGTCTGGATGTGATACTGGATGAGAGAAAGAGACCCATCCTCTGCAAAATATGTATTAAAAAACAAACAGCAGGAAATCTCGCAGAATCTGGAGGAAGTCAGAAACAGCTCAGTTTGTCACTTTAATTACTTGGCTTTATTTTGCTCCAAATGTCACTTAATCTCAGGCTCGGCATTGAGTCTGCAGGACAAAACTCCGTGCCCCAGGCACACTGCCTGATCAGTATTATATTCAGACAACATCGGGGAAACACACTGTGGAGGTTCTCTGAACTCTTGGAAGATTAAATAATTATGTAAACTATGGAGATAAGAAAAAAAGTTTAAAACTGTAATGTTGTTTACTGTATTTTGAGTCTCCCACCCTAGAATTTCCCTATTGACGACATTCCAGACCACTGCACCTCTGCAGAATACTCATGGTGAAGAGCTGGTATCTTACAAGAGCTGCGTGCATTCTCCTTCAGTATTATTCCCTTCCCCCTCGGGGATTAGCAGTTAACAGAAATGTCCATTGTGGCAGACACAGGCACCTTTTAGGAGAGAGATTTTGTATTTTCATACCGGGTTTTGAAAGTTTAAGAAAAAAACCTCACATTTTTAAGCAATTTTTTAAAAACTCCAAAATAGATTTTTAAAAAATGTCTTTTGTAAATTATATTCACAAGCTCCTTGCTGCCCCCGTACTAGATTGGTGCTCTAGTCCAACACTATTTTTTTAAAGCATGCCATATAACCCACCCTGTAAGAGCCATATGAGATCGTGATACATGCCAAATTGGTATACATTGAGTTTAGTTTTTGGTAGTCTCCAAATTCCAAGTCTGAGATTTTTAAGGATTATAAATATTGGGATTTTTTAACCTGGTTTATCTTCCCTGGTTTTAGTGCTCACTCACTAATTCAGTTTAGTACCAAGGTCAGATTTCAGCCCTGGTTAAGCAGGTGTGACTCCATGGTTTCACTGGAGTTGTACCCTCTTGGCCCCCAGTCTAAGACTAATCCATTTTATAAGGAAAATTCAACAGGGGTTGAGATATCAAAGAAAATTCTGCTCAGGGGAAGAGCCTTGAATTTATGAGCTAGCATCTCCCCACCCTGTGCTTATCACCAGCAGGCTTGCGTTAGGCTTTCTGACACTCTAGTCACCTTGCAATGCCATGAATGTAGCAAAGGCAGAGAGAGGGAGGTTATGTTACAAAGAAGCCCACTGTCCATTCATCAGAATTGCACAGTCCAGCCCAAGATTTGCAGAGATCTCTGTGCGAGAGAGTCAAAGGGAGCTGGTGAAATCTTCCAACTCCCAAACTGGTGCACAAAGCACATAGGGTCATACCAGGCAGCTGTGGGCTGTACTGTGGATTTAGATTATTGTGACTGAAAAGCCTACAGGAGTCCATACACACCACCTAGATCTACTCCAGCTCCATTTTCTCAGCATCAGGTGTTTGAGTCTCTGATGCTTTTTTGCTCGAGTCTCTGATGCTGGATCAAGGCTGCTTTCTCCATCGTAAGGAGCCTTCAGCGCGTTCCCCTTCTCTGATCACCTGCCCCATAGCAAAATGTTCTTGGGAGGAGGAGGCCCCTGGTGAGGGCTTGGACACACTTGCGTTGAGTCATGAAGGTTGGCAGCGTTTCCTACCACTGACAGGTGGCAACAGGGAGAAAGGCCTGTTAACATGTTTTCATGGTATGCGAAGCGGCTGGCCACATGGGAAGGGAGGAGCAGCTGTAGGCCCTGCCCTGGAACCCACCTTCATGCTGGGATCACATTCCATCTTGATTTTAGACCTAGGGGTGCTGTGACTTAGTGCAACTCCCTTGTGCCATTTAAACACAGCTCTCTGGAGAGCCGCTAACTGGCTGAGGAAGGAAAATGGAGGTTGTGCTGCCCTGCCTAGTCTTTGTTCTCAAGTGAATGAGTTTGTATTAGCAGAGCCCCACAATGCACAGGATACAGGCTGTAATCGCTGACACAGTGACTGGTGCTCGCTGTGAGACCGTAAGAAACCGTAGGAGCTCCCTTCTGGGTTTTTGGTTGGTGGTTGTTTTTTCCCTTGGCTGAGTCTAGGAGCCAGCGTTCCCCAAGATTTGAAATAAAATGTCCATTTCCCCTGAACAAGAGGATACGAGTGTTGGAATTGAAGGGGGGGAGAGAGAGAACAGTTAAATGAAGGGGATCAGTCTGCAGTGCTCTCCCAATTTCCCATCTTCCCCAGTCCCTGGGATCTTCTCCCCGATTTGAGACTTGCCCTGCAATGTCATAGGGGCTCTGCTGCTTTTCCACCACCCCCTGTGCTCCTCTGCATCTTGGCTCAACCCAGCCCTGCAGCATCCCAGGAGCTGTCCCATCTCCACCTGCTCTGGTCCTAGCTCAGCCCTGCCAGTCTACACTAGCACTCCTATCATTGCAAGCACCAGTGGAGCTGCACCAAGCTACAGCTGTGGAAGAGCTTCCCTGAAACAGTCAGAGTAGGTGCAGCCTCAGTTTTTCCCTTGTGGGAACCCAATAGCATGTTTACCTTAAGGGGATCAGCTGCAATCACAGAGAGTCCTGCACATCTGTGGACCTGCCCTTGATCTCACAGCTCCCGGACTTGCTGCTAGAGCCAAAATCTTCTCGGCCATTGCCTTGGTAACCCCCAAGTGCCTCACTGCTGTCCAGGCCTTGCTCCACCCCACTCTGATACCTCCATGATCCTTCTGGGTAGGAACGTTTGTAGCGTGCAGCTGGCCCTTTGGGCTCATTGTGCATGGAAGGAAAATGGGGAACAGCACCGGCGTGGCTACGGTCCTTCCTGTCTCCTACCATTCCATTCAGCCTCCTACAAGAGCTGCTCACACACAGCCCCGGAGTAGCATGTTGGCAGGCAGAAAGCAGCAGCCCACAGGAGGGCAGCTTTAAGTACCGCCTCTTTCTTAGCTTAACTGAGGCACCTCCTGAAGCCTTCCCAGCAGCTCTTTCAGAGTACTTAAACCCTACGCCAGCAAGAAGGATTCAGCCACTTTCCCAAAGACCTTCCTGCCAGCCCTAGAGGGATGCTGACAATGGGCCCACTATGCAGCAGCAAATCCCAGGGAAGGAAAGGCAATGGGAAACAGATCAGGAAGGCCAGAGCACGTGCAAGGTGAAGAGGATGAGCTTGCAGGAGAACCTATCTGGGGTAACTGCCAGTAGAGCTGGGATTTGGTTAATTCCAGAGTCACACTGGTGCAAACCTTGGCAGAGGTCTCAGGCAGTGAGAGGTCCCCCCGCCAGGGAACCAGGTTACAGTGGCGTAACGTAGCTTCAACTTCTTCTGCAATGGGGCAGCTGTAAGGGGCCAGCCCGGCCCCAAAAGTGGATAGGCTGAACAGACAGAGGTGTGTGCCAATTGAACACCCTCCTGAGCTCTTCCCACTTTGCACAGCTCCTCTGGATCCGTGGCAGAGTTTTTAGCCCAACTGAGGGTAACGTTGCCTGTCCCCCCTTGAGCCAAGTCCCTCCCCTGGAGTCTCTCTGCTACAGAAGAGTGTATTTTCTATCTCCTTAAATCTGGCCCCCAGGGTCCAAGTCCACCCTTAATTGCCCCCGTGCAAGCCCATTATTGTTAGAGGGTTGCCCCAGGTG